TATAATAAAAAATAGATTAAAAAAGTAGCTACTAATATAAATTTGTGTGCAATTTAAAGTGAAAAAATAATAAAAATACAATATTTTATAATTTTCATTCTGAAATATTTTTGTTTCATACTAAATCAAAATTAAAAACATCTAAAAATGTTGGTGTGAATAAATATGAAACGTTAAAGAAGGTTGGAGTGGAAATACAGAACAATAAAACAAACACTTCAAGAAAATGTATGACAGAAAATAAGCGGGTTAAAAATAACTCAGCGTAAATGCAAAAATAAAAGTAAAAAATAAAAGTGGAAGTTAAAATATATATTTTTAGATGACTAATTGATCAATTGTTGAAGAAATATCTTGTTTTTATTATTTTGTCACATTTTAATGGCATACACATTCATATTGTTAGCTACTTTTTCAAGCAATTTTATATCATGAAATCCTTTATTTATTTATGTATATATTTTTAATTATGGCAGGATTGGTCCTCCGAATTTTTCCAGTAATTGAAGTGTGTTCACCAATAAATTTAGTGAATCTGGCCAAATTTATTAGCCCTTCAACACCATAACCTCCCAGGGTGCAGACCAGGAAGCAGAGTTGTAGTTTAACACACATCTCTGCAGCTTCTCTACTGTTACCTACTCTTTTCTCCATCCAGACAGTGTCTTGCCCACGACCAAAGTCTAATAAATTAGCAATGATTCCCAAAGGAGTAAATCACAATAATCTAATTAAAATCAAAATAACTCTAACTCTAACAAAGTTAAAACAATTAAATGTGGTCTGTTTAACATAAGATCTCTTACCTCTAAAAGTCTTTGAGTTAGTGACTTGATTTGTGATAATCACATTGATTTATGTTGCCTTACAGAAACCTGGCTGCAGCAACAGGTTTATGTAAGCATAAACAAGGGAACTCCTTCTAGCTATTTAAATTTTCACATACCCTGAAGTTCTTGGTTAGGAGGAGGAGTAGCAACAATCTTCCAGTCTGACTTACTGATTACTCCAAAGGCAGTCAATACTTACAACTCTTTTGAACATTTAACATTTAAATTCCCTTATCCAAATTGCAAAGCAAGAAAACCTTCTTTTTGTAGCTTTGTATGATCCACCCGGTCCTTACTCTGAAATTTTTTAGATGAATTCCTTTCTGATTTAGTATTGCATACTGACAGGGTCATCATAGTGGGAGATTTTAACATCCATGCTAACACTGAAGGTGATATCTCTATTCTCCCACTCTGCAGAATCTGTTAGTTCAATCTCTAACGTTCTGCTCTCTCTGCTTTTTCTCAGAGTAGCTTCATCTGGTCTGTTCCTGTTTGCCTATGACTCCATCCTGCAGAGAAATATCA